CGAATGGAACCCTCAGATTATATTCAAAATTATTTAATCCCGAAATAAATTTATACACAATTATTGAAACAAAGATTTTTTTTGCAGTACATAGATTGAAATTAGTGTCATTGTTGACCAGCGTGTTCAGTGATGTGTAACACTGATACCCAAATAACATCAGTTGACTATCTACTTATTATGCCCAAAGGCGATTGAAACCACAGGTGTTGACATCATTTTATACAATTGTATTGCTTTTTATTAATCGGTCAGATAAACACAAACAAAACAAATAATAAATAAGTCACGATTCCCGATATTTTCAAATGTTTATTTTTTATATATATATAAATGTACTCTTTTAATGACTTGTTAATAAATTACAAGAGGCCCATGGGCCACATCGCTCACCTGAGTAACTTTGGCCATGCTGTTCTTTACCAGATTTCCCCCTTTTAATATACCTATTGTGGCCCCGTCCTAACCACGGGGGTCAAAATTTGAACAATTTAGAATCTACACTACCTCAGGATGCTTCCAAATATGTCTCAGCTTTATTGGTCCAGTGGTTCTTGAAAAGAAGATTTTTAAAGATTTTTCTTTAAGTTATATATTTCAATGTAAAACTTGGATTCCCTATTGTGTCCCGCTCTACCCCTGGGGGTCAAGATTTGAACAATTTATAATCTACACTACCCCAGGATGCTTCCATATAAGTTTCAGTATTTCTGGCCCAGTGGTTCTTGAGTAGAAGATTTTTAAAGATTTTTCCTATATATTTCAATGTAAAACTTGGATTCCCTATTGTGGCCCCGCCCTACCCCCGGGGGTCATGATTTGAACAATTTAGATTCTACACTGCCCCAGGATGCTTCCACATAAGTTTCAGTATTTCTGGCCCAGTGGTTCTTGAGAAGAAGATTTTTTAAGATTTTTCCTATATATTTCAATGTAAAACTTGGATTCCCTATTGTGGCCCCGCCCTACCCCCGGGGGTCATGATTTGAACAATTTAAAATCTACACTATCCCAGGATGCTTCCATATAAGTTTCAGCTTTTCTGGTCCTGTGGTTCTTGAGAAGAAGATTTTTAAAAAATTTTCTTATGTATTTCAATGTAAAACTTGGATTCCCTATTGTGGCCCCGCCCTACCCCTGAGGGTCATGATTTGAACAATTTAGAATCTACACTACCCCAGGAGGCCTCCATATAAGTTTCAGTATTTCTTGCCCAGTGGTTCTTGAGAAGAAGATTTTTAAAGATTTTTCCTATATATTTCAATGTAAAAATTGGATTCCCTATTGTGGCCCCGCCCTACCCCCATGGATCATGATTTGAACAATTTAGATTCTACACTACCCCAGGATGCTTCCACATAAGTTTCAGTATTTCTGACCCAGTGGTTCTTGAGAAGAAGATTTTTTAATGACCCCACCCTATTTTTGTCTTTTCTTGATTATCTCCCCTTGTAAGGGGACTTGGCCCTTTATTTTAACAATTTACACTCCCCTTTACCCAAGGATACTTTGTACTAACATTGGTTAAAATTGACCCAGTGGTTCTTGAGAAGAAGATGAAAGTGTGAAAAGTTTACAGACGGACGGACAGACGGACGGACGGACAGACGGACAGATGACGGACAACGGGTGATCAGAAAAGCTCACTTGAGCTTTCAGCTCAGGTGAGCTAAAAAACTAATTCATAAATAAATTCCCCAATAATTGTTCACATTGATTATGTAACAGAAGAATGGTAGAATAATTTTATTTTATGGTCATTTAATAAATTATGAGGTCTTATTTGAGGGGGGGTAAAAAATAGCATGGAGTGTTCTATTTTAAGCATGGTATTAGCTTTTTCAATTAAGAAAAAAATCCAATACAGTACGTCCCTCTGAATATCTTACTGAAATGACAAGTTTTTTTTTTTTTTTAAATAGTGTTAATACAAATTTTGAATACATAATTTGACAGCATTTATTTAGTTTATTAAATAGGCCTAGATAATTTTTTTCCAAACACCTGTATTGACGTTTATTTCAAGGGATAAGAAATCATTCCCTGACTTCCTTTTTAACTTCTTTCATTTGTAAAACTAATTCTAGACTACAATTGTGTAAATTTACAGCCCCTGAAGACATTTAGTAATTACATGTTTAACTAAGAAATACTTTTTTTTTTTTTTTTTTTTTTTTTTAATTTTTTATCTTAAACACCTCTCTGCAAAAAGTAAACAAAACAACAACAGGGAGTTGCAAATTCAGAATACACAAGGGGCGGAGCTATCATGTCACTCAGAACCTTTTTCACGCATGAGTGAACAAAGCAGTCCCAGGGACAGCTGGGACTGCTGGGTCTGCTTTCTTTAGCAGTCTCAGAGCAGTCCCATAGCGGTCCCAGAGCAGTCTCAGCGGTCCCAAAGCAGTCCCAGGGACTGCTTTCTGGGACTGCTTAGGTGTCAGGTTGGGTCTGGTTGGTACTGTATAAACGAACTCTTGTAAATACACGTTACTTCAATAAAAAGTAAACAAAGGTAATACACGATAACCAGCACGAACACGGGTCGCCATTCCACGCCGATACCCGTGACAATAAAGCAGTCAGGTGTAACGAATGCGAAGAGGATACCCTGGTGCTGATATCGTAGATAGTAATATCGAAAATGGCGTATGCCTATTTACGAGTCGTGTTCAGCTTTAAGACACGCTTTATTCGAACAACACGCTCTTCTGGAGATGGAAAACAACTATGTTCTCAACAGGTGTAATAACCTTGAAATACATGCCATGTTTGTAAACATATATTCCTACGTACAACGTATACATCAGCCAAACAATTGTAAAACCAAAGCCAGAATATTTTTAAAGCTTACGTAAATTTGGAAATAGTTTACAGTCTTTTACATGTACATGAAAAGACGTTACTATTTATTATTAGAATATTTGGATCCAGCAGGCATATATTTGTATACAAGATTTCTTTTCCTTATTCGTTTCGTTCTTTCTAAATCTATATTCAAACTTCTTTTTAAAATTATAATTTCTGGTATTAAAAAAAACCCTCTGTTTTTAGAGGTCCGTGTTTGCTCTGCTCCCACTTTGTATTGTTTTAGTGGACTTTGAGCTTGAATACTGTTCGTTATCTCCATATTTCATAAACACAATGCAAATTTTTACATCACCTGATGTAGGGGTACTGTATTAAACAGTTCAGCAAGTACAACATCTTCCTTTTGTCATTCTTTCTCTCTCTCATATTTATTATCATTTGTCAATCGTAAATTAACTTTTTTTATTCCTTGATTAATTTTATCAACACACTTTGTTTGACAATTTCATCTAACAAACAGAAACTTTTTTAAAGAAGTAACTTCTCATGATAAAAAAAAAACCTTGTGAGAAGAAATATACATTCGATTAGTAAAGGAGTTAACAAAGTGGGTTTTTTTTTAATCTTTTATACATGTTAAAAGACTTTGATTAAAACTAATGATTTTTTACTTCATTTCAAATATATTATCGATCTTCATTACAAATATATAATATATTTGATATCATTAAATACAAATTTAAAAAGGGGACAACATCAAGGCAGCATTGAATGGTTAATAAATTGAAGAAATTTTGTTTTGTTAAATTGTAAATTTGTATTTAATTTCAGATTTAATTATAAATATAAAATCAATGTGTTTTGACTTACCAAAAGAAAAGTACACATTTGTTGCTGTGGTTATAAGACAAACTATCGCATGTAAAACAAACATAATTGTTTTATGAGAAACGAACATCCATTTAAATTAAAAAGCAATATATAACTGGATAATTGGGTAAAGTACAGTACTTTTTGTAAACACTGAATAAGGAAGTCACTTCTGTCCTGCTTCGTCAAATTTGAACAAATTTTTTTAGAAGGACTGTACATATACATGTATCACTTTCAAAGCAGCCTGTACCTGTATTTATTTACGTGCGTTATGAAAGATGATTTATAATGGTTTACTTAAATGTACCTACGTTAACATAAAATATTAAAGATTCAGTTTGATATTCATGATGATCAATTCATCATGGAACAAAAAAAAATTGATTTATCGACAAGAATCCATCCAGTCGTATCACCTTTGAAGAAGGGTTTCAAAACTGATTGTGTTGTTTTAAGTTCCAATCGTGTTTTGCTTTAATACCCATTCATTGTTGTTTCTTTTTCTTCGACAAGCCCCGGCAATTGAAGTGAAAGTCGCAAGTCTTTCGGATGAAAACTTAGAAAACGAGCCCCCTTGTCACGGTAGGTGTTAGCATTATAAAGGACCCTCACTACCAATAAAAGGTCTAAATTTGAAGCCCTTCATCGGTCTTTGGTGACGTCTATAGAGTGGAAAATTCTCAAATGGGACTTAAAACATCTCTCGCTGTGATAGAATTAATAGAGATTTCTTATATAATGATTGTTAAATGAGTTTACATCAGACAATTTTCATTTTTAATCTCAACCCTCTTATATTATTGTTTTTAACTTTGATTTGGTTACTTACATGTACATAAGAATTGATATTTTATATCATACACTGTCTTTCATTACGTGTTTATCAAAGATATAAATTTGAAATGATTGTAATTTAAGACAATTTTTATTTCACATTGTTACATATAAGTATCAAAGCAAAATTAATAAAAAAAATTCTCTAAATTACTTTTACATAATGGAGAAATGTGAATTTCTCGTAAAACTTTCTGTAGTTGATAAGTAAATTACACTCACAAAAATAAAGTTGTTAGTTATTTGTTTTTCTTCATCAGGTATCAGTTGGCGTTTAGAAAACTGATTAAGGAAAAGCTAAAAGCCCTACTGAAAAAAAAAACCTTTAGTTTCTGACTAATTCAGATATTCAATATAAAACATAACAAATGTTTAGTAACGATCCAAAAAATAATTAATATATTACAATCAATGTAAAATTTTAAAACAAATATTTGTCTGCTCATAAGTTCCTTGCTGTAGATGAGTAGCATAGTTTATACAGGATTCAGATGCATGTCCTTCATTGGTTCCACATATTCTGTAATGAACTGATCATCAGTGGCAATGTATTCAGCAGGTTCTTGCCCCTCTTCTCTATAACTTCCAGTCAAATGTCCACAAGGGTACAGATACCTGTCGTCAATTGGTTCCACATATTCTGTAATGAACTGGTCATCGATGGTTACGTATTCAGCAGTTTTTTGCCCCTCTTCTCTATTAATTCCAGTCAAATGTCCACGATTTCTGATTATCGAGTAATTGTGTTCCGTGTGCACCGGTGATGTCTGGTACGTATCGCTATAAAATCAAATAGATAACATCAGAGTTTGAATAGAAAAAATCTTTTGTAAGAAAGTGTTTTATTTGTTACATTTTTGAGACTTATGTGCCCGACATATGTGACATTTTCTGGGCGTATATAATTTCAACTCTGGATTCTAGCCCATCGGGTAAATTGTAGTTTGGTATCCATTGTAAACCCTATGGACGTATACACGAAAGATCTACAGGAATTAAGAGGTTTTCTTCTGACGTGACTTCAGACCCACCAAACTGATTATCATGGGCTTTCGTCCATCTCTGCGAAACTACTGTTTGAGTAAATGAGACAGGGTCTCATGGCCCTAGGGGTAGGGGGGAGCAACAATAGGGGGATCAAAGTCTTATATGGAATTGTGTAGGGAAAAATCTTTTAAAATCTTCACGGGAACAGTTAAGTGATATGCAAGATCTGTAGGTAGTACAGATTCACGTTTGCTCAAATTTCGGCACCCTGAGATAGGGTTAAACCACTGTAACGGATTGAAGTTTTTTTTAGGAATATTTATATGGAAAATTCTTCCAAAGAACAGCAGGGTTTACATACAATTTGTAAGCATCCTTATGTAGTGCAGATTCAAATTTGTAAAAATCCTGGCCCCCAGAAGGGAGGGATATATATATATATATATATATATATATATATATATATATATATATATATATATATATATATATATATATATATATATATATTTAGTTCAAAGATTGTTCAAGGTATGGACCCAGGGGCTAAGTTTGAACAAAATTTTGTATAATGTACGTTGATAAAGACGATTCTATGAACTAAGACGGGTCCACAGTTTTGCCTAAATATTGTCTATGGGAATAAAAAGGGAAAAAATCTTTTATAGAAATTCTTAAGGATAGTAGAACAAGGTGACCCAGATGAGCATTGTGATCCATGCGTCTCCTATTATAATCATGACCAAAATTGAGACGCAAACAGGGTTCAAAGTTTAACAAAGTTATAATAAACAACTTCAAATTAAAACATTACAATTACCGAGATGTATTTTTTCTTTTGAGGAAACACGCTATTGCAAGAGTTACAGGGAAAATTATTCCAGAGATGGCTGCAATTGATGATCCAATGTAGACATACATATTGTATATTTCAAAATCGTCTTCGCTATTGTGTTGTGAGGACGTGTTTCCTACGAAAAGAAATATAAGAAAATAAGATGGAAAAATTATTTATTTTTAAGAGGTATATTGTATATTCAAGTAGTTTATTTGTTACAATTTTATAAGTTTTATTTTAGTGTTAAGTGTTATTTTTAACATAATTTTTACAGTGTTTTTAAATTCCTAAAAAGACCATATTTCTTCTTTGAAGATATAATTTGTTTTCAAGAAGAAAGCATCTTAGCATTTCAATTTTAACAAAATTTAAGAATCAAAATATGGATCATTTCCGTATTTCTCGGACAATGCCTTACGTAAGCATAAATTTCTGGTGTTGTGGCTCCAGGTGCCCATATCTGTACAAAGTAAGCTCTCTGAAGTTGTCGGGGTATATCCATCATTACAAGAGAATTTGCAAGATTCAGCAGCTTTTTGTGTGCAACTTGATGATAACTTGACATGTTTTATAGCTGACGTGCAGAATATCTCTAATAACAGAGTTTATTAATGAACATTTTAGTGGTTGTAACATCTAAAATTCTATTTATTCATTTGTAAGTTAAACCAGCGAGGTACTTAATCATAAAAGTATGTGAAAAGTATCAAAGAAAAATACCGAAGCCAAATCTAGTTTTTTATTCTTGCTACTCTGGAAATTATCATAACTGGGCAATATATGTTATATAAAAACTTTCAAACGAATAAAGAACCAGTTTTATTCTCATGGAAGAGAAAAACCCTCTTTAGATTTGGTTTTTTAAGGAATGAATTTAATAGCTACCCATTTTTGGGTAGCTATTAAATTCATTCCTTATAATTTAATTTTCATTCATTTGATGTAAGAAAAAAAAGATGATTGTTCTTATAAAATGACTTCAATTTGTGCAAAATTTGAATGTAACGTCAGGCGGATCGATACGTTTTTGATGCAAGTCATTGTGACGTAGGCAACCCATTTTATACAAAATAAAGTAAATTTTTTGTCCAATCAAATAAAGCGTTACAACCAGAATTAAATTATATGTATTTCAACTCGCAGATTTTACCAAATCTTTGACTCTTTAGGACAAGAACAACCAAGATGAGCACCCTTCAATCCTGAAATATATCATGTAACCGACGTTTCCCTTTCTCTCTTTAAAACACTCACTACAGATACACCCGTAAAATTGAAATTTGGGAATTGGCAAAGAAAACACTTAACTTGTTGGCATTTAATTTTCCCTTTATTTAACATTATGTCTGAATGCAATTCCTTTTATATAAAGGATTTGAAAATGGTCAAGAATAAGCTTATAAAACACCTAGCTCAACATGCCTTTTGCGAACTAATTAAATGCACATTTGGGAAATAAATATATTGCTAGTATACAATGGTGCAAACTTAAGACGTGATTAATTATGCAATTTTATTATTGTTTTCACATTCAAAGCTGGTATTTTGGGATTGCTGTTTTCTTTTATAGTATTTATGTACTCCCCTTTTGCACGAATAACAGTGTTATGTCAATAGTGCTAATCACTAAGTCTCCATAGAACGTTTATGTAATAAGTTTCATTCCCGCTGAAGTGTCTCCCAAATGTCTTGTTCTAGACGATTGTATATTGTCATCAAAGTCCTTGTATTCAACAGAAAATTTCACACATTTCAGATATATAATGGGATCGTTTCCTGGCAGCGTTAGTTGTGAAATGCACTCTCATTAAGAAATTTCGTGCGCTTTTGGGAGATACTAAAAGATGTAAGTACCATATCCATATGTGCTTGATAAATATTTCACAGAAATCTATATGTATGAATTATTAAGCAGTATATAGTATAGCTCAGACAGCACCACAGAGTTTCCCAGAATGTAAATGTAAATGTAAAAAATGTAAATTCCACATTTTCATTTTCATGGAACAATCCTGATTCAAACTAAAAAATATAAATATTTGGGGTCAAATAAAGTAGACTGATTCTTACTTAAAACAGGCGAACAATGTATGAATTTTAAGATAAATCTCAGGCACTCTAGCAAGAACGGTGCTCATCTCCAAAAAGGGCTCTGTGAAAACCTATTTCATTTCATGCATAATTTGCATTGAGGTTGTTATTCATGCAACAAGGGGAGAAAATGTGTACAACAAAGTAAATTGTCAATTACGAATATAAGAACTTAAATAAAATTTCAAAATTCATCATATCTTTCATTGCTTCGTAGCTAAACATTTACTCCAAAAATGTTCATTTAGTTAGTTCACAACAATGTCCAGTTAAAAAGTTTTTGAGCTGTATATTCTAGGTCTATATGAAGCAATATCAGTTTGGGCACAGCCTACATAATTCCTTGACAAGCAAACAAAGGGGTCATGAGACGTTATAGTTGAGGAAACACAACCGTAGATTGTTTAGTTGTTTACAATTGTTTAGCATGTATTCAAAAACAAAAAAAATATGAGGGAGGCGTACCCTTCCCAGTGCCTAAATTACTTTGAGTCTGCATTCTAATTTCATCAAAAATGTTTAAACATTACCTGTGCATAAGGAAACTGGAGATGGAACCCATTGTCCAGAGTGATCACACATAAGGGATACGTTGGCCCTTAGTCTATATCCAGATTTACAGTGAATATTGCAAGTGTGTTCAGGATATGGAATACAGTCATGTAAATTCACATTGCGTAGAGAAGTAGTGCAGCGAGAAACTGTCCAAATTAAAGTCGACATAACATTTAATAAAAAAAATTAAAAATTACAGAAAAAATACAATTTCTGATTTACTTTTTCCGCAGTCCATTAAAAAGTATACAATTAATACATGCGTGAAAACGGAAATTACTATGGTAAAAATGTTCATGTCTTAGAAAGTTAGATTATCATCTGAATTTGAAAAAAAAAATGAATTATTTTTGTAAACATAATCCTGATTTAATGCGATTAAATGTAATTAAACCAATTCCACTAAATTTCGCATAGCTGAGGGTACTTCTCCTGTACCCCTGTTGTGTGACGTTTCGGACTGAAATTTGTTTCCAACTTAATAGACTTTAAATGGGGTAAGTAGTTCTGACATTGCTTATTGATTTGCCATATGGGATTAAATTCTCTGTATATTTATATATTTTTGTATCACCACTAAAAGCTGACTTGTACCTCCTTGACACGTTGTTTGATCTGATTTTAGATCAACATCGTCCGCACAACCACATGTTCTTCCATTCGGTGTTGGAAAGCAGAATGCACTACAACTACCGTTATTCGTAGAACAACTCAAACTCACTAAAAGAAAAGAAAAATTTTATAATACATACCTGACTTTCAAGCGACTCTAGTGAGATGAAACGTAATACCTTTCGAAATTTTGTGTATTATTTAACAATACATTAGTACTTACAATCAACTGAATCATCTGTATATACATCAAGACTATTAAGCACCCCCAGCTCTGGATGGATTGACATAAATGTTACTTTTGAACCCGTTGCTTTGTTTATCTTTGTTACGCCTCTGCATTTTAGAAAAAAATAATGTCGTATTTGCTTTGATTTGCTAAAGGCAAAGTACTTCCGTCAAACACAGTTCATCTGAATAAAATTAACAGTGTTGTTCTGTTGTCAATTAAATAGTTTCAAAGTATAAAGAATACCGTTTTAATATATGTATATTGAATACTATTATATTTGAGATTATCGAATTCGTTCGACTAAAGTATGATTTGTCAAAATATTAATGTAAAAGCCAAAACAAAGAAAGAATTCAAAACAAAAACAAATAAATACACAAAACAAAATCATATCACAAAATGATTCTTAGTTAGTAATACTGAATAATTCAGTTACAAACTACAATTATAAAAGAAGAAAAACATTTAGTAGGAAACATTTGTTTTAAAAAAATCTGATTTGAAAGAGTAGTAAGGATCACACTAACTGTCTATTAGACGCTATGTAATAGAGATATTGTCTATGAACAATAATTCCAAATGGACATGCGTCTTTATCTGTTGTTAAAACATGTCTGTTTCCTCCATTCAAGTCAGAGTACTCAATACGATTTTTAATTGCATCTGTCCAGTAAAGTCTATTGGCTAAAATGTAAAAGATGAATTCATCAAAAAAAGATATACCTCAGAGATGGAATGTAAGGAAACAGATTGTAGCGGTATTTATTCATACATGTAAAATCGATTGCAAGACCAGTTGGGGCTCCAATATTTGTTGTTGCTATGTACATTTTTGATGTTCCATCCATGTACGATCTACCTATTTCTTTGATACTTCCTGTTTTTGTCCAGTATAAATATCTAGAGAAGTGGTTTATAATGATCAATCTTATATTAGATTAACATACACACTTAAGAAAATGTAATTACGTGTATTTCTGCTAATTTTATATATTTTGCAATAATACAACATCGAATTCATGCACTTACAAGTACATATACCTACCCTCTTGACGGATATAAAACAATATCTTTTGGTCTATGCAAGTTAGACAACAAAGTCTTATGAAGAAAACTCTGTCTATGTACAACTCCAATATAACTTTGACTCGGTATAGAGGCTACTGCGGAATAGTATATGTTTCCCGTTGAATAGTCAATGGTCAAACGTTCAGCAAAGGCGAATCCTGTGAATGGCAGATTTAGTGCAATGGCAACAACAATAAAGAATATATGATACACAATGCTGAGGAGAAAAAAGATATAAGTTGCTAATCATTTTTTTAAATATCAGGTTCTAAATACCTGTTGAATAGAGCAAGGATCTATTCTTTCCATGAAGCGTTGTTGACATAATTTTTCTTGATGAGGAATCAGAGTAAATGAGTTCCTTTGTTGACTTATCGAATGCTATTCCTGGGGAATACTTTATACTGATTGGTAATTTGATTACATTGCCTGTGTTTATGTCAAACTGAAGGATCCTTCCATCGGAGTTATCAATCACAATCAGGAAATTATTAGAATAAACGCCTTACAATAAAAAAAAACCTAGTGTGTTTCAAGGAAAGCATGTGTCGCCTTCTTTATCGCATCATCATTACAGATTAAAATAATTCTAAGGGTGGTCAGATATTTATTTGCTACTAGCATTATAGCAAAGAATAAAATTCACAGGAGCTTAGCACGCGGAAGGGGGTGGCTTCTTTTCTGAGAATAGTTTTTTGATGTAGTTCTACTAATGTAAATTTTTATTTGGAAGCTCCTCCCCCACCTTTTGTGGCTGTATGGTCGAACACTTGGTAATTCCAGCATTTAAGAATGGACCAAGAAGTTAAAAGTTAGACAAAGGTTTGTTTGTTTGTTTGTTTATAGAATAGCATTAATCATATGAAATCTGACAATCAAATAAAAAATATGATTCCCCAACCCTCAAAGCCAAAGAGAATAATGAAATGGGGTGAAATTATTGAAAATGATTATTTGTCATTTTAAAAACAGCTATCCTCCAAGAAGATTTTAGTCTTTCTTAACTAAAATTGTCAATCTACAAGGATTTTTTTTTTTTTTTTTTTGGTATACCGATCCTGAAGTATTTTTTATAGTATCTTTAAAATTTCAGTTTGTGTGGTATCTGTAAAGCAAACAATTTCAAAATACAATGTTATGAGCTCATAAACATGTGATATAAATGCTAATGACCAAAAGCTTGTCTCTCAAAATAAAAGAAAGGCAAATAAAATCAACCATCAGGAGTAATTTGCAAAATAGGTCAAAGGTCAAGATCAGTAATTATGATATTTTCGAAAACAAAGTGCCAGGCAAAAAGTGTGTAAAATATCAAATCTATACCTCTTATAGTTCTCAAGATATAGGCTGTGTCAGACGGACGGACGGACAGACAGACAGACAGACGCCAGGTAAAGTTATCCCTGTGTGACACTCTGCTCTTCATACGACACAAAAATACATATCTTTTATCACAAAACAAATTATGCAGAGGATTACCAGAGGATTAACCCACTTATTGCTATCGCAAGTTTTCAAATCTGTTTGAAGTTGCAGGCCGAAATCACATTCACATTTTCGTCCACTTTGTATCGGCACACAAATACCTTCACAATCACCATTCAAGACGTTGCAAGAATCTGTATTGACAGTAAATTGATGAAATATGGAGATAAGGAACAGTATTCAAGCTCATATAAGTCCATTCAAACAATACAAATCAGGAGCAAAGCAAACACGGACTCTAAAACATCAGAGGTGTGATCGGAAGCCATAGAGGAGTGAGCATCTCCTGCCAACCGGTCACACCCGCCGTGTGCTCCTTTTCATGTCGGAAAAATCTGTAGACACTTCAGTGTGCAAACGCTATGATAGATTACATATAATATATATTTTCTGTGAAAGAATGCTAACATAGACATTATTCTAAAACATATAATAAGAAATTCTTTATCATTTATTCTGCCAATATTGAAGAAACAAGAGTTTATCTTCTATATAAAACTCTGAGGATTACATGTAAAATTAAAACAAACAAATCAATGAATGGAAAAGGCATTGTTAACATCAAAAAAAAAAAAAATTGTCAAAATTTATTTTTTTTAGTGCATCGATAATAATGATTGCAAGTTTTATATTTTTATATATATGACGGGCTATTCATATATTTTGTTATTCTTTGAGCTTTGAGCTTTTCCCACAATTAAGAAAAGAACCCAGTACTTTATAAAACAAAGAAATGGAGGTTTAAATTTATTAACTGATCTGTATCAGAGGAAATGTATTAGTAATTGAAAAGATTTCAGACAATTAAGAAACTTGTTTTTATTTAGATGAAATGTGAAAAAATAATTATATTTTGCAGCAAAAGGACCACATACATGTATACCCAAAAATAAGCACCGGAAGTCTCCATTCGTGAAATATTCTGTATTCTTTGTTTATAACTACAATGTACTACAATTACAAAAGGACCTTATTTAATGATTTAAATGAAGTACGTGGCAGAGTATTATCACATATATTTTTTTTTATTAGATTTCATACAACAGCTTAAGGAAACTCTAAACACTGCCCACTGAAGGGTACTGATTTCATGGTAACTACCATAAAACTTTATGAAGTTTGAGTAATCTAGTCTTTGCTATCAAATGGAAAAAAGGAGATCTACAGTAAATGACACAATTTGAAATATATAAAAGTATTTTTAACATCATATCAATCGTATCAGACAAAGACAAGTAATTGAAAACATTATTTGCATGTTAATTCTTGATATAACTGAACAACGATTTCTGTTCCCTAGTATTTCTTAAGATTTAATAAAATATTTCCTGGATAAATATGGCAGATACCCTTCACAGGAAATGTACTCAATATGTACAAATTTTTACAACACTGTTTTGTTTAAGTCCAAAGAAAACATTATGATAGCTAAGAGCTTTGTTAAAGAACAGTTGTTAACATTCATAGTGTCAGATGTATGTAGAGAGAGAAAATCTAACCACTTTTATCCCGCTGTAAAGAGGAATCATAAACAACAACTTCTTTAGGATTTTGTATTAAATCCAGAACATGCTCTGAGGAATTTTCTGACTTTCTTGCAAAGTACAGCCTATTCTGATTCATCCAACCAAAGAAATCCTACAAGCGAATTCATTTGTCATTAAACAAGTCAAAATATCAAGTCTCATTAAAAAACTTTTAAAGAAATACAAATCCCTCCTCATTCAGGTATAGGTCTGTTTTTTTTTTATTATCGTATCGGTATTTAACTTCTTCCATTCCCACATAAATTCCCTCTTTTTTTTGTTCCTCTAACATGGGAGAGAACTATAGTGATCATTTGATTAATTGCCGCAAAGTAATAACAAGCATGAAGCCTAAAGAAGTTCTGTTCTGTAAAAAGCAGAAAGTTTTAATTGGTAATGGTTTAATATTTCCTCTAACTTTCGGATATAAATCTATAGCAATTTTAACATTTAAAGTACAAAATAGACCAAACTTTCATAGATGATGCATTGGGAATTGATTCTAATACTCTCTGTGTTTCTGATGCTTCATGATCCAACATTACACATGTAGATGAAGACCGCAGTTAAAGATTTTCGATAAGCTCTATTTTTAACAATCAGTCAAGTAATGACAAATCCAGCTTAATTCAAAACTGAATCTTTCATTAGGTAACTGGTCTGAAAACAATTTTTTTAAAATGAATATTCCTGATTAAACAGCGAAGTATAGGTATTCTAACTATATATAGTTAACTAGTCTTTTGGTTAGGAATATCACGCACTGGAAAAAATAAATAAATACATGTATCTGGCTAAGCTTTTATTTAAAAAAAAAAATCAGTGAAAGATATAGTATGACTTCATTACCTTGTATACAAATATCTGTAATGCACCCGACGTAACAGTATGGCTTTTAATGTTAGACCCATTGCTCAGACAGCTTTTAATAGTCGTTTCATCAAGCCAATATATTCTAAAATATAAAAACAAATTAGGCACCAAACTCGTTTCTAAGAAGGATCAAATGAACTTTGGCAGATATAGTTTTCTAAATGTGAATATCAGATGAAATAAAATTGAGCAGCCAATATATTTACGCAAAAAAGTCGGAGAGAATGTTGGGTACCACATCCAAACACTTTTCTTGTGTGGTTTGCATTTATAAAGCAAAATTGTTATTTGTAATGCATTCAGAAGTTTGCAATTTTGTGCATTTTCTATTGTTATTTTAATGTACCTGTTGCTTGTGATATCATAATAGAGTGAAGTCGGACTTTCTAGGTTTGGAGGAGATACAATATCTACTGGAAAGTTTCTTCGCAGTGATCCCCGCATAATTCATCTGCGTAATTTTCCCGAGAGTCAAAAAAGATAACTGAAATATGTTTATTGTTAAATGAAAGGACCGTTCTCTCAAAATGCATTTTGATCATTACGCAGTACAGTTAAGGTGCCAAATGGAAATATCGGCGATTTTTCTAGATAGAAAATACATTCTTTAGAAGGATGGGCGTTTCGTTTTAGGACTTTACTATTATTGGAAAAATGCAATGTGGTTGAAAACTACATGTTGAGGAAGATTAGATTTCTTATTTAGACTTTTACGTGATGTGGCAGTCACGTGATTTTAGCAAATATACCTGAAGTATTGAGGTCATCTATAAATTCTAATATTGCAAGGGCATAACCAAGTTAAAAATCTAAGTTTAACATTTAATTATTTTCAACACTCCTTGTAAATTGTGAAAAGTGCTGCGAACCTATATAGATTCTACTATCTAATTGCTAAAATTACATTTGTTAGACCGTATGTTGAATATTTTGCTGGTTAAGTACATCAAATAAAGATATAATTAATTCATTTGTAAGATTTCAACAGGTTCGCAGCACTTTTCAAATATCTTCATACTTCTTGAGTTTATGTGTAAAAGCTTGTCATAATTCATTGAGGGTATGCCCTTGAATATATCGATTTATTACCCTTCAATGAATCTGCATACAAATATACGACAGTATCGCTTGTCTAGGGAATGTACGGGAAGTATATGAATAAAATCATAAAATAGACATCGCATCCAAGTTAATGGCCTCTTATAGATCTACAGTTTATATTTTATTTCTTTACAAAATACATTTTTCATCGTATAAATATAACTTGATCCGCCTCTCACTGCACACAAACTGCGTCAAATTTTACGATATGACGTCACATTGACAAGTGCATTGCGATCAGTGAATTGTTTATATATTGCTGTGTGGGATTTAACCAACGACAAAAATGCCTGCACTAGTAAGTATTGATGTAGTTTAAAGCTATTCAACAGTTTAAAATAGCAAATCATTTCATTTTGTGGTAATTTTATGAAATTAATATATTTTTGTGTGATGTCATAGTAAGCATTTCCCGTATAAATTAGGCCCCACCTCCTTACTG